AGATTCTCGCTTATAGTTTCTCGTTTATAGAAGATTCTCGCTTATAGTTTCTCGATTATAGAAGACTCTCGCTTATAGTTTCTCGTTTATAGAAGATTCTAGATTATCCAGGTTCGACTTTATAAAAAAAAAAAATTAAAAACATATATTACCCGAGTGCAGGCGTGGTGTTTGCATTGAATCCTCCAAGCGACAAGCCGGTGCCCAGAGAGGGGGTTGTACCAAACATGCTGTTGCCAAGACCGCTGTCTAAACCTGAAATTATACAGAAATATTTAAAATTCTCGTGTCACAATTTTCGTTCCCATACTCCTCTGAAACGGCTTCACCGATTCTCATGAAATTTTGTGAGCATATTGAGTAGCTCTGAGAATCGGACAACAGCTAGTAAATATATAAATTGCTGTTCGTTAGTCTCGCTAAAACTCGAGAACTGAACTGAATCTTATCTTGGTCTTGAAATGTTTCTGGAGGTCTAGGGAAGGTTTAAAAGGTGAGAAAAATTCGAATAATCGCCGGGAAAATCGTAAAAACAGCCCTTTTCTTTTTTCCATACAAACGGCTGAATGTATCATGCAGAAACTTGTCATAGATGTAGAATATAGTATGGAAGAACACATAAGTTAATACTTATGTTTTTTTTTAATTACGCGCAGACGAAGTCGCGGGCGACAGCTAGTAATACATAAATGTATTATATTAGTTTTGTTATATATATACCAACCTCACTTTTTCGCGCTTAATGGAAATATTATAAATGCCAATGTTTGGATGGATGGATGGATGGATATTTGTTTGAAGGTATCTCCAAAACTGCTGAACGGATTTCAATGAAATTTAACATACATATAGAACATAGTCTGGAAGAACGGATAGATAAAATAATTTAGTTTTTTTAAATTCCGCACGAACGGAATCGTGGGTTACAGCTAGTCTAAAATAACTCACCAGTCCTGAAGGTATTATTCTGCTGCGGCTGAGCAAACAACGAGCCTGTGCCAAGATTGCTGAACGCTGGTGCTGCGGCCGGCTTCGCTTGGAACGATGTACCCAGACCACCACCCAGACCTGTCGCTGGAATAGTCAGTGTACTGGAATACTAGTATGCTAATGAACTATTTTTTTTCTATCATTATAAAGTGGCCATAATTCGCCGAAATGACGAAGCAACAAATTAACATGCAGACAATCCGAGTTCCCTCTTCCGTCTAAATCTTTCCCCTTCCGATCCTTTCCTTATAAGGGTGGACGAATACTGG